TTAGGTAAAGTATATTTCACCTTAGATTCTCTATTTTCTTCACAGTTATAGGATAATAAAAGAAAATATTTTCTAACTATATCTAATGCAGGTTCTATTGGCATTTATTGTAATTAAATTGTGAAAAGAATTGAGTAGCATCATAAGACATATTAATACGAGGTGAAATAAGTTACACCTACAATATTTGTGCATCTTCCTGTTGACTCACAAATTCATATATGTGCGCACATGAGTATTCATATGTGTGATTTGTACATATATTTGAAGGTTTTCTTTGTCCATGAATTATACACATAAGCATCAGATCCTCAGCCGATTTAACTGTGTGTAGGATAATTTCCTTCACTGGAGCTGTGTTGATTTACACCAGATGAGGATCTGGCTTACTAAATATATGGGTGCCATTCATGTTTGATCCAAGTGTCACTGGATAGGCCATTCTTCCTTCTTTTCCTGCTACTCTTTTCTTCTTTCTCCTTCCTAAGGGAAAATGCAGAAAACCTCACAATGTATCAAGGTGTTGTTTTTTTTTTAAATAAATACGACATACAGATTAGGGATGTTAAATATCAGTTAATTGAATAGTCGATTAACCTCATGAATTCTTATTGGTTAGTTGACTATTCTGTAGTCCTTGGCGGAGGGGCTGGCAGTATTCATAGTTCCAGCCCCTATCCTGGGGACCCCCTGCAACCCTTTTGGGGAGGGGGTGGGGAGAATGCTTGTAGTCTATAGCGTTAACCTATCAGCTTTTGCTTATCAGTTAATTGGTTAATTGACTATACTATTACATCCCTAATTCAGATATAATAAAATACATATCTTCTCTGCAGCATTAGGGCTTGTGATTAATATAATTTGAATAAGATAGATCAGTGGTTGGCAACCTGCAGCCCATGAGACATTTTGTTCACTGTTGTCCACACACAGGGTTGCCAGTTTCCCGATTTCTGTCTGCATAGGGTTCCCCCCCACCACCAGTATTACTAAAATGAAACACGTGAAGCAAGGGCATGTGAAGTGAGGTGAATGCTAATTGCACACAACGTTGGCTGTACGAGCTGTGCACTGCTATGGTTTAGTTGGGGCACACTGAAAATTCTAGATAAGCAAGTGCAGTTAGCAAAACTATCCTATCCTGGGAGACTCTTGGTTATGATAATCTTGTAGCCCACTGAAGGGAAGCCACTCATGAGGCCCACTCCCTAGCCTAGGTTGCCTATCACTGAGCTAGATCATTAGATCTTGCATACTAACATAGAAATGTTTTTCCTTTAGTTCAGTATGTACAATTTCTGTTATATGTGATTTGCAGATTTTTCCGTTGGCACAGTCACCATTAGCTTGGATACTGATTGGTCTCTGGGTTGGCAGTCTTGGCAGGCACTTAATGCACTAAGTCATTAGGGGTATGTCTACACTAGCCCCCAGCTCGAACTAGGGAGGCTAATGTAGGCATTCTAACTTGCAAATGAAGGCTGGGTTTAAAATATCCTGGGCTTCATTTGCATGTTCCCGTCCGGTCACCATTTTTTAAATGCCACTAGTCCAGACTAACTGCCCAATAGGAGGAGTAACAGGTAATTCGAACTAAGGAATTAGTTCGAACTTAGTTCGAATTAACGACTTAGTTCGAATTACCATTTAACTGCCGCATGTAGCCACAGGCAGTTAGTCCGGACTAGTGTCATTTAAAAATGGTGACCAGATGGGAACATGCAAATGAAGCCTGGGATATTTAAATCCCTGGCTTCATTTGCAAGTTCGAATGCCTACATTAGCCTCCCTAGTTCGAACTAGGGGGCTAGTGTAGACATACCCTAGCAGAACCAGAACTAGAATCCAGTTGCCCTGGTCCCACACTGTAACCCTTGGTTCTCAATCTTTTCCATACCGTAACTCCCTTTTCCATACCAGGATTAGCCCAGGTCTCCCTATCCTTTTCAGCCATATGGGAAGAATGGGGTAAGTCTGCTTCCCTTCTCTCTGATTCAAATTTGCCTGCTTCTTGTCTGGAGTTTTGTTTTGGACCCAGCTGCTGCTGATGAAGGTTGTTGAGTTATACATTAAATGTATGTGAGGATGATCAAACAAAGCAGATAGTTCCTCAAGTTAAGTAGTTATAGCTATAAGTGCAAATACAGTCCAAGAAAATAATAATCAAACCCACTAATTTTCTCTACCCTGAATACTGCTATTAAAGAACAGAGAGAGAGGCCCTGGCCTCATTTGCACTGACGTTCCTTTCCACCACAGAGGAAGTGTAAAGATGCTTTAAAGAGAGGAGTGCGTTGCATTTAGGGTAAAAAAGACTGATTTTTTTTTGTTCACTTGCACTACTGTAAAACATGGGTAACTCTATTAAAGCCAGTGGAGTTACACTGTTGAAAAACAAGTGTGAGGAAAAAGTAGCCCCAAAATATAACTGATTTACATATTGAGTTCTTTAACACAGGTTTTATTCAGCCCGTATTGGGTGGTTTAATGGGAATTTGGCTGAGATAAGGCTTAAGGTATTGTATCATAATGATTATAATCACCTTAATTTTCAGCCAAGTAAAAAAAAGTTTTAAAAAAGTTAACAGAAATCTATATGTAGATTCTCTCTCTGCTTTGCTCTTTTGTACCTATACCCATAGGATATGAATAACCGTATAGATTAAACTTGTCAGAGTTCTCTTTTCTTATTCCTTTAGTTGGATGCCATTATTTACGCTTCTCAAAAATTAAGGGAAATCTAGAAGAAAGAGGAAACAGTGAGAAAGCAGGATATCCAGTATTAAAGATGGTGTATATTTATAGCTGCCTCTCCTCTGAGTTTCAGGATGCTAATTGATACAAAGAAGACAAGTTGCAGCAGCATTTCCTCAGTTGCTGAAAGACTTTGTACTTGATAAAAAAAAGTCTTTCTTCACTTCTTTTGTAATTTAATAGATAATAAAGCAAAGGTCAGCTATAATATAGAACTAGATTTTTTTTTTTCCATTCTGAGTAGCATTTAGATGTTAATTCAAACTCCACCAAAGAAGCAGCAACAGAAAAGTGTAAAAGTGTATTTTATGAATTTATGCACTTGGACCGCCATACTCTGGGTGTATGTATACTCTGGGTGTAACCTAATCTGGAAACACCTGTGGTATGGACCCTGGCAGGTGGAGGCAGAAGTGACAGCCCACTGCTGTTTCTGTCCCTCCTCCCCCCAGTTGCTTTCTTGCGCAAGAAATTCATGTTGCCTGTCTACACTGGCCTCTTGTGCAAGAACAGTTGCGCAAAAGGGCTTATTCCTGAGCGGGAGCGTCTGAGTTCTGGCGCAAGAAGCCCTGATTTCATACATTAGAACGCCAGTTTACTTGCGCAAGAACACGCGGCTAGTGTAGACAGGCAGCAAGTTTTTGTGCAAGAGCGGCCGCTTTGGCACAAGATCGCGCCAGTGTAGACACAGCCTTGTGGTAACCAAGTAGAGATTTTCCCTGAGCATGCCAGTCAAAGCTCACCAGTTTGGATTAAATCATACGCAAGTGTATTAGCTACAAAAGAGACAGTTTAAGTGATAAAGAATATCAAGCAGATTACCTAGCAAATAAACCAAAACTGCAAACTAAGTTTAATGTACTGGATAGATTGGATATGAATTAGTGATTCTCACCTTAGAGAAGATATAAGCAGGCTGCAGTTTCTTAAATTGCCAGCTGCACTTGCAGTTTCTTAAATTACAGCTTGGAAGCCCCAGGTTTTTCATACAGTGGCTAACAATACCTTTAGCCTGGGTCCAACACTTCCCCCAGGTCCATCTTTGTTCCTCACATGTTTCCAGGAATCTTCTTGGATGAGGAATGAAGAACTCCAGATACTGTCTCTCCCTGTGTTATATAGCTTTAGCATGTAGTGGGAACGCTTGTTTCAAAACTTTCCACTGATTTGTGTAAATATATTGACATCACAAGATGGTGTCCAGAATCATGTGGCATGTTCACACGTCCTTGTAGAGCAGGGGTGGCCAGCCCATGGCTTGCGAGCCACATGCGGTTCCTCTCCCTCAAAAGGGGCAGCCTCTTTTATTTTATTTTTTTTCAAGTGTTCAGCAGCCGCAGCTGAGACGAGAGTTTCAGAAATGCCCAGCACCCAACATGTATCATGTGGAACTTAACTGATAGATAGGCTGACTCTCTAAATGGGACAAATTTCATCTTGAATACATTGATTATGGCATTAAAGCTAGTGGAATTCAATTGTTTCATTTGATTGTAATTTATGGGAATTTTATTTGATGTAGGTTAGCAATCCTGCAGTTTTGCCCAGAGGTTCTCATATGAAGGAGTCCCCAAATTCAAAATGACATGCTGCATTTTAACCTGATTTTGCATTGAAACCATGTCAAATTTGGAGTTTTAATTTGACTGGCCCAGATTTACGCTAAATGTTCATGACTCTTGACTCTCAGTTTCTAGCGTGTCACAAAAACCAGAGAGTTTCATTGGAGTTCAGGTTTCTTTATGAACATTTAATACAACTCTGTTATTTAAGTCTCTTAGGGCCCAAACCTGCAGTCTGGAGCTCTAAAAACTCAGACCACACCTCATTCAAGCAAGCCAAACTCTCATTCCTTTGGAATTACATCATTTCTAAATCCACCAGATTGCTCAGAGACACATACCAGCATAGAATATAAAGGTTTTTACATTCTTCCACTTTTAAACTTCAAGTGAAGTGAAAATCTAGTCTCAGTTACATAGGCACAAGTACAAGAGTAAGTCTAGTGATTTCAGTGGTGTGACACCAAATTTAGATGAATGCAGCTGAAGGCAGAATTCAGCCTCTCTTCTTTTAGTTAAGGAAATCACACTAATGGTTCATATATTTGTATTATAAATATATTCATTAGCAGGTCTAAATCTCCTATAATAAATATTTTTGAGTATTTAGAGATGTTGGTTTAATGTTATAGTGTGCTATCCCTGTTTAATATGCTTCTGGTTAAGCATTTTTGGAAGGAAAGATATGGAACTTAAAACCCTTTGTAAGATCGGCAATCTTCCCCTGTATGCACAACACACATTTGGTAAATTTTTTGGTTGTATAAATTCTTTTTTTATTCTCTGTATTCTCTTAATTCAGGCAACTTCTGAAAACTGAGCTGGGATCCTTTTTTACTGAATATCTACAGGTTTGTGGACTTTTCATTTAGTTTCTTACATTTGTCAGTGCTTCTGGGTAAAATTATTTGGTGATAAGGCATTGGGCAAACCATTTATCTTGATATTACCATAAAGTTAAGGGTGGAAATTGGATTTGTTCCCCTTTCATCAATTTTCATGTTACATTGCTTGAAATTTCATGACAGCTCAAATACTGAAATACTTTACCAGATGTTTTTCTGTCTTTTAACGACAATATTAAGGAACTTGGTTGGGGTCATTTATACAGAAAGGGTTCAGATCATGGCTGCAGCCTGGACAAGATTTGCCCCAGCTGAGACAGTGGGATGCCTATTTGACCTAGTACTCTGACATGATCTGTGTCCTGATTCAAAGCCTATGGAAAAACATCCATTGACTTCAATGGCTTTCGTTGAGAGCCTCGTGAGATTTGGTTTTAATATTTTATTTTATAGTGAAAGCTAAAACTTAATATGTAAATATCAGCATAATACATCTTTTTGATAGGGTCCAAATATTTAATCTGGGTGATAATTGTTTGTTATTTCTCAAGCTGCTTGTGGTATAATCAGGAATCCATTTATTAATAATTATAGATTATTTTACTTTTAAAATACAATTTCTACCTCCATGGCTTATTAAAAGTTGTACAGTTTATGCTTATGCTTGTAAAAAGCTTTGATGTTCCCAGATGGAAGTTGCTATACACTGGGAGGATTAAAAATATGATTTCTCATTTTACACGTGTCCTGGTAGATTTAAACAAGAAGAGTAAAACTCCATTAATGAGCAGCAGCCATTAAAATAGTTTTCTTGGTTGGTTGGTTTTTTAATCTTCAGTGGCTTCAAAGAAATTAGGCAAGAAATAAAAGATGTGTGTATTTTGTTTACAGAATCAGCTGCTTACAAAAGGCATGGTAATACTGAGGGACAAGATCCGGTTTTATGAAGGTAACTCAGAATTTAGCCATGCTACATCTACTCAGTAGACTTGATCCAAATCATACTGAAATGAATGAGATTCCTCGCACTGACTTCACTGGGTTTTGGATTGAGTCCATACAAACAAATTGTTCTAGTGTCACTTGTGTTTTAATGGCTTCCACCAAGAAGAAATTTTTGCCTAGCACATTGCCAATTAAACCTCCTGTTTGAATGTTTTACCTGATGTCTCAATTATAACCTATTTAAGGCAAAATATTCTGCGGAGAACAGAATACAATATCTCATTAAATGACAATATAAAACCTGCATTCCCAATTAGCTGAAAAGTCATGGGAACACACTCTGATCTCACTTACACCTATGCAAATCCTGAGTAATTCTGTAGTCTTTAACTCCAGATTTACTCTGGCATAAATGAGGTCAGAATCTGGCCTATTATATTGTCATGACTCAGTTTGTCTGTTTGCAGTTAAAGTGGTTATAAATGCCACCTAACTGAGTCAACTATTAATGAGATTTATTTTATATTCGAAAGAATCAAAGTATTAAGTATGTAAATGCAGAGAGAAGGAATAAAAATTCAGAATATTGGCCAGATTCTGCTTTCATATATGCCCATGTAAATGTCAAGTATGTCCATTGAAGACAGTTGTCCACTGGAATTACTCCAGATGAGTGTAACTGGGATAAAGTCTGGCCCTATCTCTGCATACAGGCACCCCACTCTCTCACCTTTGCATTAATTAGAGATTTGTAATTACTGCAAAAGAAATGTCAAATCAGTTTTTTCATGAGTCTATATGAATACAGAAAGGGGGAAAAAACTCTTAAAAATGCTAGCACAAATGTATTGGCAGAATTATATATGGTCAAATCCATTCGGTTTACCTAGCCTCCAGCTGCTATTTTATCTGAATGCAGTAGTCGTCATTCCATGGCCTAGGCTGTTTCGCAGCATTTAGAGGTGATTTTTAAATTAGCCACGCCACACCAGAGGCAGCTGTATTTCATTGGTGGGTGAAGTAATTTTTAAATAAAGATTATAAAATAAAACAACTGCAGACCTTTTGGCATCCAAGATAGTAGTTAAAAAAATGCAGCTTTCTTCCCTGAGTGATTGCCCACATCCATTCCAATAGGTGTGTGCATGTGCCGCATGCACAATTGTTGGAGCATTTTCCCTGAGCGGTGCCTATTGGATTGACACTGGTGTGGTGCCCCTGCCTTCTCAGTTCCTTCTTACCACTGGTGGTGGTTGTTGGAGCTTCCTTGTGCTATTGTTTTGTAAGCACCGTTAGTGGTATCTGTTTGTTAGTTAGTTATACATAGTTCCATTAATAGTTGTCATTAGTGTTAATTAGTTTGGGGGTGTTTCCTTCTGTTTACATTTCCCCTGACCAGGATATGCCATGGTCTCAGGGGTTTAAATTCTGTGAGAGCTGTGGGAAGCCGATGCCCAAGGGCAGTCTGCACTCTTCATGCCTCAAGTGCCATGGAGAGGGACATCAAACTAACAAATGCCCCGTCTGTGAGAGCTTCAAACCTAGGACAAAGAAAGAAGGTGACCATCACCTGAAGCTCCTGCTAATGGAGGCAGCCCTTTGCCCCCAGCCACTGCCAGAGTCAGCACTGGCCTTGGTGCTGAGGAAAGATACCATGAGGGAACACTGGCATCACTCCCTGGGGTACTAGGTGGGCTCAAACACGTGGCAGTGCTCTCACTACCTGGTGCTGCACAAGAAAACTGATAGAGGCCTGCCCCCAACAAGAGTTCATTGAAAGACCCTAGTAGGCTGCGCCCTAAGTCAGGGCACCTGAAAACAGGGCAGCAAATCCTGGCACTAGCCTCAGTACAGGGCTTGTTAAGTACAATGCTGGTGGTCTCCCCAAGGCTCAGGGTGGGATTAGGCCCATTCTGGACCCTATCGAGGATATCTGCCAGGCAGCCATGCGGCTGTCCCTCCACACCATTTTGTCTCACTACATCGTTACCCAGAAGGCATGAGACGATGTGGCCTTTGGCAGGGCTGTCCTTCAGGCAGCAACCAGGTGATCTCCAGTCCCTCCTCCCTGGTAACAGCTGGTGAAGCATCTATTGGAATGCACATGAGCAATCACTTGAAGAAAAAAGGTTACCTGCCTCTTGTAACTGTTGTTCTTCAAGATGTGTTGCTCATGTCCATTCGAAATCTCACCCATCTGCCCTCTGTCAGATTATTACGGGAAGAAGGGACTCGGAGAGCAACAGTATCCTATATACTGAGCCATAAAGCTGCCATGCTGAGGGGGCTCCACAGCCAACTCAACAAGTATATCATTAAGGGAAAATTCTCCAAAGATTGTGAGTGCAGCACACACCTATTGGAATGGACATGAGTAACACATCTCAAAGAACAACAGTGACCAGAAGTAAGTAACTGTTTGTTTTTTCTTTCAAGCTGTGTCCAGACTCAGGGGTTTTTTCGAAAAAACTTCCCCTGCGTCCAGACTCAAGCCGCATTCTTTCTAAATTAAATCGAAAGAACGCGGCTTTTCTTTCGATGGCGGTAAACCTCATTTCACGAGGAAGAACGCCTTCTTTCGAAAGTTCCTCTTTCGAAAGAAGACGTTCTTCAATGTAAATAGGGCTTCTTCAAAAGAGAGCATCCAGACTCACTGGATGCTTTCTTTCGAAAAAGCAAGCCGCTTTTTCGAAAGTTCAACATGCAGTCTAGACGCTCGCTTTCGAAAGAGCCTCTTTCGAAAGAAGCCTGCAGTCTAGACATAGCCTCAGTGCCCCACAATGCCAAAACACTTATTAATCTAAATATGCCATTTGATCAGTTTCCTAGAGAAAGCCATTGGCATTACTTATAGCTCTCTCTGAATTTTAAATGTGACCTTGCTGTCTACTTATTTGATTGAAATCAACATTGTTATGGAACCCAAATCAATTAATGAAAAGACAATTCCCCTGACCACAGCAACCAGGAAATAAATTTCACATTAAATTCCCCTCTAGAGCTGAACATAGAATACTTTAATTATTTAACATAACATCTCACAATTGGACATAAGGATTTCAAGGTTTCTTCAGCTTGCTTGCAAACTATAAGTCCAATTTTTCAGTCCCAAATTGGTTTAAAATTTATTAAATTGCACTGGACAGGTAATTTTTTAAAAAGTTGATCGTTAGAAATAATATTTAAGATACAATACGGGAGAAGCATTTCTAAATTCCTATGCTAGATTGCTAAATTGGTTTAATTCCAGGCATATACCATTGACTTAAAACAGTTCATTAAAATGTGTGTGGTGTAAAAATATTGTGGATGTATGGAAAATATTATATGTGTGTTTCATATAAGAATGACCACATCAGGCCTATGTTTACATAAGCCGAGTTTCCTTTATTCCTGCAAATAGCATAGGAAATGCAAAAGCCTTTGTTTGACAGCAAAATAAACATGTTTTCAGAGGACATGAAAGTCAAATTCTTTTGTGTGAAATATGCTAATCACCAGTTGATTCGAAGCATTCTTCCACAACCCACAGTAAAAGGCCTGTCTGGGAATATGCACTTTACTGTGCAGATACAGGAGCAGCTGTTCTGAGTCACTGTTGTTGCTGCATGGAAATTCATTGCTTTAAAAAGTATCCAGCACTGAGTAAACAGCCCACAACATATAAGTGATGAGCTCAGGCTCGCCAACAGGAGGAAGAAGAGTGGGTGATTGGCCAGGAACCAGAGCAATTTAAAATGGCCCCCAGCTGCCACTGGCAGCCCAGTGGGGATAGGGGTAAGGCAGGCTTCCTTACTCAATGCCGCTCCCAGAAGCAGCTAGCCTGTCCCTGTGGGCCCTGGGACGGGGTTTCTACATGCTTCCCCGCCCCAACTCTGAAGCTCCCATTGGCTGGGAATTGCAGGCAGTTGGAGCTTCGGGAGTTGTGCATATGGGCAATAGTGCACGGAGACCCTCTCTCCACCCCACCCCCGCCTCAGAAGCTGCTGCCAGAGAGATGGGTTGGCCGCTTTTGGGAGCTGCCCAAGGTAAGCGCCGACCCCTTCTGCACGCTAACCCTCAGCCCCAGCCTAGAGCCTACACCCAAACTCCTTCCCAGAGCCTGACCCCTCACACCGTTCTGCACCCCTAACCAGTATCCAAAATCCCTTCCAGACCCTGCACCTCTTGTTTCATCTCAACCCCCAGCCTGGTGAAAGTTAGTGAGGATAGGAGCGTACGTAAAGGAGGGGAGGAAGATGGAGTGAGTTTGGGGTGGGGCCTTGGAGAAGAGTCAGGACAAAGGTCTGGCCTCAGGGAGGGAGCAGGGCGATTAGCCAGCTGACAACACTACTGGGCAGCCATCTGGGAGCCCTGGCTGTGCCCGAAGAGCATGGACAGTAGTGCAGCCAGTGGCTCTCTTGGCACAGATGCAGCCATGACCCAGTGTCAGGAAGACCATCGTATGCGTGGGGCGGGGGGGGGGGGGCAATGACTGCTTTGCTGCCAGCAGGCCTGGATGACCTAAGGTAAAACGTAGTTATCCCAAAAGGATAACCTCAGTTCATGGATGTTTTAGGGGCAAATTTTCAACAGAGCGCAGAGCTGGATTTTCAACTGCTTAGTTCCCGTCCATGCCCACTGTGCACTTCTGGCCAGTTCCTATGCTGAGCTGTTCTGAAAATTCTGGCCACGAGGTTTATAATGATTGAGTTGTCTCCCATAATGGCTGAACTTGTACATTCAAATGCTGATGATACGTCATAGGGATGGCATAGAGTATCTTTGGTAATAGATTTGGGGTCAGGTTTTTCCATTGCATGTCACTTACTGCAGCACTAAACTGGGCTTAAAACACTTCTAAATCAGCATGCATCCTGCACTGGTGCAGATGATGACACGCGGTGAAGGGCAATGGGGATGTCAGTCCCCTTGTGTTATGCAACCAAGCAAGGGGGAAGGATTAGTTTTCCCAGTGGTTGTACTGCACTGGGGTCTTGATTTGAAATGAGCAGCATTTAAAGGCACCAGCCTATGAGTGGAACAGCCCCATCACCTTGGTTACAAATGGCCCAAGGCTGGAGACATCTACCATTTGCCCTTTTTTAAATTACTTAAGCAGTGGAATGAAGTGACTAGTCAGAAAGACCACTATAGGTCGGACCTCCCTTGTGTTTCATCCTCGGTGAGCTCCTGGCCTCTGGCCCTGCTACCCCCATCCCTGGCTGGGACTATGCTCCTTGCCACCAGCCCTGGCCAGGGCTGTGCTCTCACCTGCACTGGACCCGTTAGGGCTGGGCTTCCCACTGCCAGCCCAGCTTGGGCTGGGCTGGGCTGTGATTCCAAACCTGGCCAGCTGGAGCTCTCTGGTCCAGCAATATCCATGGTCCTGCTGGACCAGAGAGTCCTGGATTGTACAGGTTGAACCTCTAATAATACTTAGACCAAAACATATAGATGCAGGTCTTGTTGGTCTGTGTCTATATAGCACCTGGCTCAGGGGTGGGCTATAATTTTTGATGGGGGAGGGGGGTACTCCAAGATTTTGGAAAGTGGTTGAGGACCGCACTCTTCCATGATATTAATGGAGGTGGTCCAGGGTCTGGGATGGAGGTTGGGTGCAGAAGGGAACTTGGGGTAAGGAACTGGGGTGCAAGAGGGAGTGAGGTCTGGGAGGGGGTTTGGGTGAAAGAGACAGTTGTGACCTGAGACATTGGATGAGGTGCAGGTGTTTGGGTTGTGATCTAGGGCAAGGGATTGGGTGCAGGGTCTGGGTAGGGGTATGGGTTCAGGAGGGGCACAAAGGATTTGGCTTATGTGGGGTAAGGGAGCAGGAGTGGGCCATGGAAGAGGATTGGGGGGAGAGAGGGACTGGAGTGCCAGAGGCAGGCTCTGACCGGGCAACTTTCCTGGGTGACTCCTGGCCAACAGCCCAACAGGGCTCCAGGTAGCTTCCCTGCCTGCCCCACTCCCTGCACAAGCTGCAGGGGCCATGTAAGAGCCTGAGGGGAGGGGGCCAGGGTGCTTCCCAAAGTGCCTGTTCTTCAAACAGGCAGCCCCCATTATGTTTATTTCATGCCTTTTATCCTCTAGGGCCCTGAACTATTTGCAAGCTTGGGCCAAATGTTCCTATTTGAGTTTGTTACTGAGACACGTATGGTTTCTCTTAGAACACGGGAGCCATGTACGTACCATACAGAGTATTAAGGTATTAATATTGATTTGTATTATAGTAGTGTCTGCAGGCCCCAGTCATGATCAGGGTCTCATTATGCTATGTCAAGGCTCTGTGTGAGGGTTGGCCCCTTTCCTCATAGAAGTGGGCTCAGCTGCACCTGTGCCCCTGCTCCCCTCTGCCCAGAAGCCTCCCTGCAGATTCTGTGGGCAAGCGTTACAAATAGGGCAGACCTGGTGGGGGCAGAGGAGAAGGCCATTGCCTCCTCTGTCGTCAGTAGAGATTTCAAGGAAACAGTCCAGCCTAGAGCTCCACATGGCTGTGATCTATGATGGGGATTGATTGCTCTTTAAGGCAGGATGCCTGGAAGTGCATCACCTTTGGGCGCAGCAGGGAGGCACAGAACTGCACTGTTTCCTATAGAGCCAGGAATTTTCAAACCATCCCTGTGGCTTATTCCTACTGGGGCAGAAGTGGGACGATGTGGTGGCATTTCCATGTTGAGACCCTCAGAGATTTAATTCGCCATCACCCCTTCTGCCCTCTGGGTTTTACTCCAGGGGGAAGTGACCGGCTGGCTTTCTTATACTCTGTACGGGATCTCTCTGACTGAGCTTTGCGTTGGAAGTTCAGTAAGAGAGTTTAATTGTGTGAGCCAAAAGACACAAATACCAACTAATCTTATGTACAAGCTGGGGTGATACTTCTACAGCATCCCAAGTGTTAAAAATGATCATGCGTGATTCTCCTCCGTTCCCCTCTGGAGCTGGTATATTACATCATGTCCTGTATTGCTCAGTTAATGTGTCATTGACTGTTTCCAATATAAAACAAGCTAATGGAGTGCTTATGTGTTTACAGGACAGAAGCTGTTGGATACCTTAGCTGAAACCTGGGATTTCTTTTTCAGTGACGTCCTGCCCATGCTTCAGGCTATTTTCTATCCTGTGCAGGTGAAATATTCCTTTGTTACTTCAGAATGCAGAAAAAGCCGTTTGGCGGGTTGCTCAACGGATTGCCACAACTGTCAGACTATCCCAGAGGGGCCAATCCTTTGGTGCAGCTGTTCTATAGAGTCAAGTCATTTGCATGAATGGTGAAGTACTCATGTGAAAAACATGAAGGGGAAACTTTGAGAAACAGAATTGCACGCAGTGAGGAAGTTTAGTCCTTATGTTAGCTCATACTAGAACAAAAGCATAGGAATAGTAAAATGAAGAGGGGTAATCAGTGAAGCAAGCAGAGCTCTGTTGACTTCAGCATGTGCATATCCAGCTATACCTCGTGCATATGTATATATGTGAAGTGCACTTTGGTATAGTGTTAAAAAAGTTGATGGAAAATTATGTACTCTGTAAGTCATTTTCAGACACACCGTTAGTTTTGTTATTGGTGTACTTCACTGGGGTAAAGTGATTCAGATTCATTGAAGTGAATGGAGTTGGACTCATTCACTCTAGCAGAGAATTTTACCTCAGCTAATGTTAAACATGCTTAAGGCACTTGACCTCCTTCTGAGCGAGAGCCTGGTTTTCAGACACATTCTCCTATTTTGCAGGGTTAATTTTGCATCTACAGTTAACTTCCTACCCCAAGCTCCCTTGTACACTCCACCCAGCCCCTCTATAGAAGTGCGTTCCTTGCCCACTTACCAAAATCTTGGTGTCTTCCCCCCCCCCCATTAAAAATTATTGCCCATCCCTGAGTTAAACAAATCAATTACACTTGGGATTCTGACCATCATTTTTAAATGGCTCATTGTCCTTATTGTGACAATTTTGTTCCTAGGGGAAGGAGCCCTCGGTTCGTCAGCTGGCTCTCCTGCACTTTCGGAATATTATAACCCTCAATATTAAATTAGAAGATGCCCTGTCACGTTCCAGAGCCAGGGTTCCACCTTCAATTATTCAGATGCTGCTGATACTCCAGGTGAGGCGTTTTGGTTATATTTTTAACATCTCTGTTTTTGTGCTATATTAGCAACATTCTCAAAAGTGACCACCGATTTTTGGGTGCCCAAATCTGAGAAATCTTGATCCTGGGTTTTAGAGATGCTGAGCATCCACCAGTCCAGGTGAAGTCCATGGAGCTGTAGTTCTCAACATTGCTGAAAATGGAGTTCATGGAGATTCAAACTGTGCAAAGCAAAAATTAAAGGGCCCAAAAATAGAAGTCACTTTTAAAAATTGAGCCTAAATGGATACATGTTTGTTATCTGGTTCACAATTATGGCAGTAACACAACTTTGAATGGGTGCTATGACCTAATGCACTAGCATTTCTGAAGATTGGTGATTTGTTTCATCATAATGCTTAGTACAGATTTGATCATGTCAATATATTCTCTCAAAATTGTTTGTAATTCACAGATGTAAGATTCTGAGTATTGGTGTTTCTTTAAATATGAAATCCTTGGTCACAAATTAGGGATAAGGAGAAAATGATAAAGATAAAAATAAATGAAACTAGGAAAACCATCAAAGGGAGAAGAGATCCAGAAAGAAAAACAGCACCTAGTTTTGAAAAATATTCAAAGACTGTATCTGTTGGAAGTAATGTTTGTGAACATTTAATTAAAGAAAAAAATCACAACAGGCTGTGTGTAGTAAAACATGGGGCAATTGAGGCCTTGTGGTTAGTAGATTTTTATATACAGATGAATTTAGAACAAACAAAAGGAAATACTTTTTCACTGGTGTTCGAGGTCATTGAGAAAATATTTCCTCAGGTCCCAGTGGCCTAATGGATAAGGCATCAGTCTCTGGACCCTAGGATAATGGGCTCAAGTCCCATCCACGAGCTGCCAGGCAGCCACCTACCAGATATGATGGGATTTAAAAGGCTGCCGAATTTAACAGCTAATGATACTACATGTAGTATTCTGTTATGGGTACTGAGATAAGCATAACCGAATTCGTATTTCATGGCCACTGCTGGGTCAGGAATGGGTATTTTGCCTCAGTACCATATTGCAAGTTGTCTAGGTACAATAACAGCAGAGCTTAACGTGGGGGAGGTTGCAGACCCATCAAAAAATTAAAAATGAAGCTGGGGCCCCTGATTATGAAACACTCCTCACTTCTTTTTTTCCAGATGTAAGCACTGGATTTCAGTTTTTTCACCTTCCCCTTTAAGAATTAGATATTAGCCACTACTAGGATGTCAGTGGCAAGTTTTCCATTGTGATTGCAATAGGAGCTGAATAACATTGAATATTAGAAAGCTCAGAGAAGGTGGTGGAATGATCTGTGAGGAACAGTGCTCCAGTTTATTGCACTCCTTCCTCACCCACCAGCAGGAAACATTAACTGGATAATAAATACTGTTTTTATTGACAGTAAAAGGCCAAATTCATCTCCTGTGCAACTCCATTCATTGAAATTAATACTTACATGGGGATGTATTCATCCCTGAATGTTTATTCATATGGATCTCTCATTTACAATCATGTAGCAGGAAGTTAGTGGCAAATTTTTTTGTCAACTTTACCTGGCTTTGCGATTTAAAATCTAGGTGAAACTAAACAAAAGACTTACAGTGTCAAAGAGGATATGGGAATGAGTCAGTTTCTTTGTTTACAGTCATAAAGGCTTATAGTCAATTCAGAAGGAAGAATGTTTCCCAAACCCAAACATCAAGGTGTATAGAAGTTAATTGTTCTACATTTAACAATAACAGTGCAGTATTTTAAGCTTGTTGAGTATGATTAAACCCTGTTGTGGGTGGAAGTGGGGCAGGGCTAACAAAGTTTGTCATGCTAGCTTTCAAATGACCTGGTAAAGTTTTATGCTTGGATTTCCCAGAATGATGAAGAGTGTTTAGATCTGTCTTGAGTCACCCTCAGGGATGTACTAATTGGGTCCAATCTTTGTGCTTCCAAGCCAGCTAGGGCCTCTAAGGGCATGCCTGCAAAACAAAGGAAAAACTCTATGGCTGGCCCATACCAGCTCACTTGCTCATGGGGCTGTTTTATAGCTGTGTAGACTTCCGGGCTCGGGTTGGAGCCCAGGCTCTAGGACTATGCGAAGTGCGAGAGCCCCAGAGCTCTGACTGTGGCCTGAGGCCAAATACCTACACTGCGGTTTTTCAGCCCCAGAACCCAAACCCTGCCAGCCCAAGTCAGCTGACCTGGGCCAGTGCCAGGGGTTTTATCATTGTGCAGATATGCGCTAAGCTAAGGTATGCTCCTTACAGATCTTTAGGAGATGCAGCAAAAGCCGGCATGCTCACCCCCTTGAATCTATGCTCAATTGTGTGAGCCTTCGGACCCATTCCACATGCTAGTCAGGAAGGCCTGTCCTATGGGCCTTCTGTTTTCTGGTGATGGTCAGATGGGGAGAGAGAGAGAGAGAGAGAGAGAGAGAGACTGGGGCAGATCCTGCTTTTACCTGATATTTCTATTCCTTCTGTCAGGTGACCATTAATCAGTCATCTGCAGATTGTAGTCCTGTGGTTAGCTGAGAAGTTCCAGCCAGTGACAGATCATACTGGGAAAATCAATTCACCTAACCCAGCAACTCTCTCTAACGAAACCTGAGGGTGGACCCCTTATTGGTTGGACCCCCTACGGTGTGTGGGGTGGAACAATGATGGCTTTTTTGTGTTAGCCGTTCTGGGAATTTGGCATTACATTAAGCTGTCCTGGGTGTGTCCTTGATAGCCCTAGGCAGCTACAGTTACAACCTGAAAGTATAGGTCACATTCTTCAACATAGCAGTGACAATGTTCCAATTCATGGCCAATTCATTACACTGGGGGTATGTCTAGACTGCATCCCTCTGTTGGCAGAGGTATGCAGATTAGTCAGGTGGACATTGCAAATGAAGTGGGGATTTAAATATCCTGTGCTTCATTTGCATAAAAATGGCTGCCGCTTTTTGCCGACATTGCACTTTGTTGGCAAAAAGCGGCAGTCTAGAGGGGGATCTGTTGAGAAAGAAAGCCTTTTTCAACAGATCCCTTATGCCTCGTGCAAGGAGGTTTACAAGATCTGTCAAAAAAGGTTTACTTTCTCGACAGATCCCCCTCTAGACTGCCGCTTTTTGCCGACAAAGTGCCACATTGGCAAAAAGCGGCAGCCATTTGTATTCAAACAAGATATTTAGATCCCTGCTTAATTTGCAGTGTCGACCTGCCTAATCTGCATCCTTCTGCCGACAGCGGGATGCAGTCTAGATGTACCCTGGGTTGCTTCAAAGATTAAAGCACTCTGGAGGCAATGGGATTTGTTGGTGGTTTTGGATAAACTTGGTACTGGTCATGTAGCTTTTTTGTACTTGTAGATGTGAAGCCCTGTGGCCAGAGAAAGATAGAGTAACACAGGGCTTGCCTTCATGGAAGGGGAATGAAGGTTTATAAAGAAGAGGGACAAGTCACGAGAGAGACCGATCCTTATTCAACATACAGGCCCAGTCTACCAAAGCACGTAAACACATGCTTAACTTTGAGCAGAAGTCTCTCTGACTTCAATAGGACTACTTGCATCTTTAAAGGTCACTATGTACCAAGGGCTTTGCTGGATTGCTGCCAACAGAGGAGAAAGGAGAAAATAGTCACTTTGGGGCATTTCTCAGTGAGAAGGCCTGGAAGTTTATTTGTATAGGGTAAACTTTTCTTTCAGTAAGTTCTTCCATACTCTTGAGACATGGGCTATATTTATCTTCAGCACACCAGGTGGCCTCATCTCAAGGAGTGCACCCCAGCCTCTGATACACTTTCTGCACCAATTTTCTGGCATAAGATGGGATAAGATGCTATATGACTTGGGATAGAAAAATCTCACAATCCACTGCGTCACATCTTTGTCCTTCACACACGTGTAGACACTGATGCCTTACAGAGAAAGGGTGGAGATACGAAATTAGGGAGTAGGAAGAGGAAAAGAAGTCAATGAAAGTCTAGTTCAGGAATCTGAATTTGGGAGCCTAGACAAACTGGAGCAGCTAGGTTATGTAAAGAGCAACACAGCATATTAGGGATTATAAAAGGTCAGATACTCAAGTGACTAGTTCTGTGCGTGCCACATGATAAAATCTCATATTCCCTCTGTCCCCACTTTGAGGATGTGTTCACAACAATGTGGGAAGCAATACATTCACTTTTGGAATAAAACTGTGGTATGTCACCACACAGTAGTAACAAATAGCACAGCTCGTACTGTCATTTGAAGGATCAGAAATTATGCCTAGGGCCAGGATTTCCAGTGCATGTTTGGACCACACCATTCAACTAATCTGTCCTACGACCATCTTAACTAACCCTGTGAGGAACACACCACTATCATCTGGCAGTCGAAGAGGAGGAGACCTAGGTGGTGAAATCCTTGTCTTATTAAGGTATTCATCCATAGGTGCTTATGCTTCTCTGCTTCTCCTCTGCCAGCTTAGCAGGGAAAGTGTGGCCAGTTGCGCTGCATCGATTCATAACTGCAGTTTTAGGCTCCATGGCCGAGTACAGACAACATAAATTAAAGCCGCCCTAAGATGCTGTAGTTGGACTTACTGGACCTGCAAGAGCATTACCAGGAACGGGGGAGTTCAAAGAGTAATTTAAGGTACCATTGTGTGGCTTACAGACACATTCAGCCTTCACTCTTTGGGCCTTTCTGTTAAATTAGAAAACAGGAGAATGAGTCAGAAAGGAAGCAGAAAAATGGGGTGAAAACCACAGAGGTTAGAAAGAACAGCTCACAAAACACCAGACAGCCAAAACTGCCACTGTGATTCCCAGAAGGTATTTATTCACAACCTGACTTATTTTGAAAACATGTGGGACAAAGGCCCTTTGTGTGCCACTGGAATGTCTTGTCCCTAGGTGTCCAAATTTAGGCCTGAGAGAGGGTGCATACAGGGATGAGAGAACATGCAGCTGAACATTGGACATAAGGATAGTGTGGAGTCCACACAGAGCGTTTAAAAAACACCCCTCTCC